CACACACACACACACACACACGTTGTGTGCAGCAATAAAAAGTTTGAATTAAAAAAAATGTATCGACTCTGTATAGTTATTTTCCAACTGGGCACGGATTTAATAAGTTTTACTTGATCATATATGATATAAACTTATTATTTTTGCAAAGCAGAGTATTTTAAATATTGTCAAACATAACAGCAGGGAATCTTAAAGATGTGAGCTCATGGTGAAACGTTGAAATGATTGAGTGTCAGAGCCGTAAACAGTGACTGTGAATGTCAAGACAAACGTAAATCACAGGCTTTAAGTTGCGTGTGTGCGTGTGTGTGTGTGTGTGTGTGTGTGCTCAGAGCTGCAGGCCACCACCGTGTTTGGTTGCAAATTATTTCCTCATTAACTCACAGATCTATTTACCGTTTGTTTTGTTTCCTCACGATTGATTGGTCAGGTTCATGTAAGTGTGCGCGGTGATCGAGGCTCATGAATGTGGGCCACTTCTCCCCCGAGGGCCGCAGAGGAGGAGGAGGAGGAGGAGGAGGAGGAGGAGATCAGAGAAATATCAACTCTCTGCCGGGAAATGTTGGGACCTTGGAGCGTTCAAAAATAACAAAATAAAATGCAGCAACATGTTAAAATGATCCACCTGCAGGATCACACTGGATGTGTGCAAACTGAAATATGACAGGAACATATCAAATGAAGAGGCAGTCTGTGTTACTGTAAGATGAGATCATTAACTTAGCAAAAACATAATTATACATTGTATAAGTGTAATCTTGGAGTCTTAAGTCTTCTCTTATCTGAAAAACTCTTAAAATTAGATTTAATTGTGTCTTATACATTTTTTCAGTTTATATTTGAGAATTTACAGAATTATACAGTACACATATTGTGTTCTGCTCATTAACTTACACATGGAATATAAAATATGTCACACTACATACATGCATAACACTGGCAGAGTGATATGATGTAAGATGTGATGAACCACATTGGTTGTGAGGAGGTGGACATTAAATGTGTATGGAACTGTCCTAGTGCTTTTTCTTTACCCGCAGCCTTGAAGTAAGTGATAGTTCAGACCAGGAAAACCCTGCCATACATTATAATATATATTTCATATATATTCTCAAACTTCACTTACTTTTAGCACTTTTCATTTCACCTTACAATACAGAGGCTCAGTATGGAAAGCATGTTGATCTATTCATTTTTATGAGTTCAGTAAAACCATGTTGGAAAACATCCTCTTTTGCATCCATTCTTAGCCTTGTACATATTCACGTGATGAGCAGAAAGAGAAAACTATTTATCTCATGAACCTGTGTTTTAAATGGATTTAATAACTGCTGGATGTGCATTACATCTGAAATAAAATCACATGTAGAGTAATCTATAGGAATTTCTTGTTGCTTATAATTGGAAGTCTAGGAATGTCACGGTTTGTACACCATCAATTTAGATGCTTTTACTTTCAAATGTTGGCTGGTGGATTAAATCAATGATGGAAATGAAGTTTGAGAAATATACATCAGAATAACCGGTTTACAATGGAATCACAACTATTCCGCATCAAAAGTTATACTACGCAATGGTTTTCAAAATGAAAGTCAGTCTAATGCCATTACACTGGAGGAACCCTCGCACATCACTGCAGTCAAATGATCAGATTAAGATGTTTTAATCAAAGTCTCTGGGTGCAAATCAAAAGAGAAAGAAGAAGGAGAAGAAGAAGGGAAAATGGTGCTTTAACCTCGTGAATGAGGTTGGAAACATGATGTCAGACTTCTCCACATCCAAATTAACCTCCAGCCGTGGGCATTGATTTGCAAATCGCTGCCGTGTAAACCTCCGGTGACTCCTCGTGCTATTCAGTGCATCTAAGTTCAACAAGCGCTGGTGCTCACCTGCTCCATGCTTTGACTGCTGCCAGCTGCCAATTAACACCTATGGCATGTTAATTAGGCCGCAGAGTCTACCACTTCAGGAGACTTTTCAGACCCTTCACCACAAGTGCCTTTATTTTCACAAGAGCTCATGTGCAATCTGCATATGCATCTTGCATGGGGAATCAGGAGGAAGCCAAAGTGGGACTCAAAGTTTGGATTAAGTCTCGGAGCTGCAACGTGGACTGAAAGTATTTGGGGGATCATGTGTAGTTGGAATAATTTGGACCAATTAGACTGTTTTGGGAAATGTGAGTGGCAGCGGTGGAAGTAGGGTGAGTGAGTTAAGTCTGAAAAGAGAAGCGATTGTGTTAAACTCTTTGATTGATGCCTAGAAATTGTGGGATTACTCATCTTGTCTACATAACACAGAAGGTAGTAATTGAATGTCAGAAATAGCGTATAGGTTTGATGTAAAATTAAAGGGAAAATCAAAGAAATGTGTCCATCCCCTGCTATTAACAAGGGGATTTATACAATATACACACACTGTTTGGATTCAGCTGCAGCCTCGCACACAAGCACACATGGATGAGTAAGACAAACAAACCTTGAAAACAAATTAACAAACGGCTGGCTCTTCTCACGCACAACCTATCGTGATTACGTCTCCAGAAATCTGGATTACAGAACCTTCCCGAGCACCTCCTCGAGTCCGGAGAGGGGGGGGGGGCAGAGGAATCGCTCTGAGAATTGGACAAATGCACAACATGGCATCGTAAGTGCCAAAAGGGATACTGGAGGTGAAGTGTTTGGAGGGGGTAGAGGGGGGGGGGTGTTCATGAAATGTTACTCAGAAAAGAAGAAAACCACCTAAAAGGCTGGAGAAGCACAATGACACATCAAAAGGGAAAAACCTGAAAACCCTGGCATAATAAGACTCATGAATAAGCTCAGATCCCAAAGGAACAATGTGTGTTTAAGTGTGTGAGAGAGCAAGAGACAGAGAGAGAGTGTGTGTGTGTGTGTCTGTGCATGTGTGCTTGCACGAGCATGCGGACACAATCTTTGCTCTAAAATCATTGACACGGGGGGGGGACGTTCGTCCGCCACGTTAATGATTTCATTGCTTCACATAATCATTTCAGCTCTCGTCTCTGGTCGCTATTAAAAGATGAGAATTGTTTCTGTCCTTTAAAGCCCAAAAAAGAGGGAACACAGGGAACTCTGATAAAAACAAAGAGGAAAAAAAGATGTATTGTCTGTAAAAAGGTAATGGGCCTTAAATGTCCGTCTTTGTGAATTTAAGAATTATTCACACTCCTAAAAAACAGCTGATATAGGGATAAAAACACATTTCACCAATAGACAACCATAAAACTGAAGTATCCACATGTTAACATTGTCATTATGAGCATGTAGCTGAGACCTATCTACCTCATACAGCTGCTAGAATGACTGTAGACCCTAAGTTCTATTAATTAGCCTTTCTTACGCCAAAAATCGTAGGACGCTGTATACTTGCTGTAAGCTACGTGTAGCCTTACGCAAGATTGCAACTTCACGTACCTTGCGTATAAAGGTTGGGGCAGTTGCGAGTCCTTGACAGGGTCAGTGAGTACGTCATCAGGGGCACGTCATTAGTGACATTTAACGCAGAGCCACATTAGCAGAACGAGAGAAGAGAACTCCCCATTATCGTGAGTTCAATTTGAACAGTGGAAACTTGGAATTTCCAAAATTCCCAGTCAGAAACTTCAACCTGAATGACATCTGACTTCAGAGGAATACCTCAGCATAAATACCAGTGAACTAATAGATCTGTACTGTTACTGCGTAATGCTAGTACACACAGTACAATCCATCTTCTATCTGTAGACACGTTGCTATGGTGTCACTACAAAATATCCCATAATGTTTTGTTAGCTCTGCCGAGGAGGTTATGTT